CTGTCATTTTTCGTGCCTCTGTCAGCGCGCAGTCGCTCCGCTCATCCTCCCAAGCGCGCAATGAATATGATGAAGTAGTCTGCTATTACTTTGGAGTCGTTGTTTGTTCTGCGGGCCTCCATCCACATTACATAACGACTAAAACTATCAATACAACCACTGACAGCAATGGCGTACGACTTCAGCTTATCGTAAGAATCCACGAGCGCTGGGACCTTTGTAATGCCAGAGTCTCAGACGCCGCCCGCCTGAGCGCCACGCCTTCAGGATCAAACAACTTGATCTGTTGTCTTATTGTGTGTTGTGATGCAAAAAAATCCCCTCTGAACTGCACGCAGGTGTAACCAACGATATCCTTTGCATTTGTCCATTACCCTCTACTTCAGTTTGAACGAATCTCCCGAGCTCGTGTGGTTTTTCCTTCTGAACAGACGCAGTTTTCTCTTCAAAGTCCTAACGGTGACAACTGCACTGTGTTTATGAGCCAAGAATTTCTTTGTTGCTAAAGCTGATTCTGAAGTACAATTTCACCACTTCATCTATACAAGGCATTTTGTAGAAGCAGTCACTGCCTCTTGATATCGTCTCAAAAGGTCGACTTTAATCTCCAAGTGTCAAGTTTATCCTCGACATTTCGACTTTATTCTCGAAAGGCAATATTAAAATAAAAACCTCCCTCTTCTGACTCAGTTCGACTTTTTTTTCTCGAAGTGCATGATGAAAAAAAAAAATCTTCCTCCTCTCATTTTTTTCTCATCTATGGCCCTAATACTCCTTCGTACCAGTGGCATTCTTACAGACACCTTTATTCAAAGAGACTTACAACAGAGAGATATCTGAGCACATGCTGCTACCGTCCCACCTAAAGGACAACCTGCTTTCTGGTTTACATCAGAGGCCACACTGAACACATGGAGATACCCGGCGGAATCCCCCAAGTTCTTACCTGTTCTTTAAGGTGTGTGTTTGTTTGGGGGTTTTTGTTTGTTTGTTTGTTTTTCAAATTCCTCCAGTATGACAACACATCTGAATGACTGGCTGTCTCTGTGCAGTATTCCCCTAATTATCATACAATAAAGGCGACTGTACTTCAGAACACCTGAACTTGTAAACGGTAAAAGAAAACGATCACCCGCTGTGAAATGTGTATGAACCTACCGAGCAGGAAGAGCAGGTCCGCGACACAAAAGCCGATCAAATCCATGATAAACTTGAACACGATGATAAGGGACGTCGTTAAAAAAAAAAAAATGCCTCCGTTAACGCTGGCTGGGATTAAAGAAGCGCTTCCGGCCGACACACTCACTGCCCTGTTCTGTCAGCTGCTTTTATAGCCTATACTCCATTGACCCGCTCCCTCACGGTTACGCCCCCTGCTGTGATGGCTGAGAGACAAAAGTGAAACTTGTGTTATGCTCTAATACAATTATCTTGACTCATCCTACCTTTCATTTTTATTTCATACTCGACTCGGTAGGTACCCCTTTAATCTTGTTGCTAAAACTGTATTTAATCAAAGAGACTGATTTGTAACTGCCACACAGTAACAAGTCTCTTTATCCACAGTGGCGGGTCTTTATCCTTCTTATGAATTAATGTTATTATCGCATCCTGCTTTTGATACTAACTAACTGTTTTGCGAACGACGCAGCGGTGTTTCCTGATTCCCTGAGCAGACGGGCGGTGGATAAGATCGGAAGCGTAACTGTTGCTGTTGAGGATAAAATTTGGGAAGTCATTATTATTAATATCATCATTGTTATCATTATTACTATAATTATTATTATTTGGGAGCCCGGACAAAGATCGAGTTGTTTCCATCAGGTGCAGAGCAGAGAGAGAGCATCAGATCCGCCCTGCAGAGGTAACACACAGACACACAGATGACACTACAATACAGTTTACCAGCAGACAAAGAAACACACACACACACACACACACACACACACACACACACACACACACACACACACACATACCCTTCTTATGAATTAATGTTATTATCGCATCCTGCTTTTGATACTAACTAACTGTTTTGATATCAAAAAGTAATAAATTCTAGAATATAATGTGCGGGGGGGCTAGAGAAGAACGTATATCCCCTTTCCTGAGGATGTAAAAGTCTCCACACATCCACCAGACTCTGCTCCCTTGACATGGTTTCTGGGAATTTCAAATGGTGCAAGGTCCGCCATCTCTGCCAGATCTTTCTAATACATTGTGTCTTACTTGATCCAATTATTATGTCAGTATTACTTATATTCTGTATAGTTTTGATTAAAGCATTAAATAATTCAGGAGAGTCTGTATTAGGGGGATATATGTTTAACATTGAACATCTTCTCCCCATTATGTCTTTATGCAGAGCTATCCATCGCCCCTCTGAGTCTGTTCTCTGATCATAAACCTTAGTGACTACATTTTTGAGTATGAGAATGATAACCCTTCATTTGCTGGAGGAGAATGTGCTGTTAAAAATCTGGCCTGAGTTCAACCGCTTAAAGTTTAAAGTGCAATATTATTATAAGAAAAATGTATCACAATGAAATGACTTCCTGTAGCTAAAGTATCACAGTAAATAAGGTCTGGTTCACAGTCGTGTCCAGTTCTTCTGAAAGGTGCTGGAACATGTCGACACAAGGTTAGAAGAACACTGCTGTCTAAATATAATGTATGTTATAACATTAAGATTCTTCTTCATTAGAACTGAAGGGCCCAAACAAAGAAACACAGTTCTCCATGGTTCATGTTGTCTCCTGGCCTCAGACACACACATACCACACACTGCTCCTGTCATTGCTCCCCGTTTGTTGGAGAAAAAAGTCTAGACCTCTTCACCAACACTTAACTTTCAACAAAAACTGACACTTTTACTGGAGTCAAAAAAGATTTTTAAAAAGTCACTGGAGATGATCAGTGTCCAATGCAATAGAATTTACTCATTTACAAGAACAAAAGCGAGATCAGATCCGGATCCGAACTGGAGACAGAGAGCCGGTGCATCATCATATATAGTCCCTTCTTAGGTGGGTTCTCCACCTATTCTCTTAAGCGAACCTATCAACACCATGGGAACAATGGTGTCCAGCCCCACGTGGAATTTCCCCAAACCAGGCCTGCTACTATAGTAGTAGTGCCAGGTGTCCAGACCCCCCCCCCCCCCCCCCCCCC